TTGAGAACTTATTCACTTGCTTCTACCGTATGAAGCCCATTATTTATCCATCTTAGAATTCAAAATGTAGCTTAAGTGATAAGAATCCATTAAAATTTTTCTTTTCTTAGGGAAGATGAGAAATACTTATTGAAACAAACTTATCAAAGACAACTTAAGATCAGTTCATTTATAGAAGACATCAACAAATCAACATGYATTATCAACCTATAAAGTATCAAGTGATGTCAACCCTTATTTTTTACCCCTTGGAAAATAGTCGTTTGAGCTGTTGCTTTTCTATGCCAGTTTATCATACGCTTTTCTTTCACAAACAAAATATAAAACAAAAAAAACAGTAGGAGGATTACACATACGAACCATTGAGACTCTTCTTATAATGGAGATAAGTAAAGATTTTTTACCTGGGTCGTACAAGCAACAAAATTGCTACTCAAGTTCCAGGGAGTTATCTGCAACTCTCTTTCAATATGAGATGCAGCAGCCAGAGTAATAGCTTCATCAGGAAGTCTACTCATTGCAGATGAAATTGCGGAGGGATGGACCTCAGTAATTCCCAAATGTTTAAGGCGGTACAGACCAGCTTGCATGCTTTCATACTTGCATACCTAACATATAATATGACGGCAATATAACAATGAACAATAGAATGATACAACAATATGTACCATATGCACTAGAATGACATCTAACATTTTGATCTTGTAAGCCTATGCTATGATCATAACACTAGATTCAGAAATGCTTTAAGAAAACTAAATAGAATAAATCACAGATTGAAAAGCAGGGAAAAAATAAAGTGATGTGCAACACAACTACGCACGCTTCAACTAACATCATATGAGCAATCTTCCCAACTGTTCACCACAACAATTGAAGAGCATGAAGGCAATCTATTTTCCCTCTCTCCCCTCAAAGTTACTTGTCAAAATTCTCCTGTATCAGTAAGAGTCCATCTTTTTGAGGTATCTACCGTAAATTGAAGACTACTAATTCAAATTCTATAAGGTTCGGAAACTAACAATCAGTGCAATATTTTCTACAACTTTTCTGGATGGATTAATGGAACACTTCAAGCCTTAATAAGAAATATATACTGCCAGTTCAGTAATTAAGATTGAATCAATGCTTCTCTCCAGTACATTTGGGTGATTCACTTATAATCATTTAGTTAAATAACGGCCCTTGATTGTGAATTACAAAGATATCTTCTGAACAAAGTATTTTGACTGGGAGTTTGCCATTAACAATATGCTGAAGAGATAAACCTACATGTATCCAGTAATACGCTGAATTTAAAACTGATTTTACTAATAGTACATTTGGTAATAGAGTTGTATTTCATGTTTTCAAGGTTTTGAATGAGTTTATTAGCAGATTTGGAAATAGAATCTCAATTTAGAGATTGTTCTAGTAATATATCTATAAACTACTAGTAGTTACCAACTAAATATTTAGTTCATTTTCTTTCATGCATACGAAGGAAAAGAAGAATGAAGAGGAAAGGACGTGGGGAGCGAACGAATCGTGGTGAGTGGTGACTGTTGAGATTCTTTGACTTTCCAAATTCCAAAAAAATAAAATATTAAAACCTTGCAGTAGCAGCTTATATTTTTTTAAAACAAATACCCCCTAGACACAATGGTTTCTGTGTTTAGGATCTTATAATTATTATTATTATTATTTTAATTGTTTCAAATAAGCCCATGAACCACGCTTCATGAGCTTCTCCGCTTCAAGCACGCCTCACTAGTCTCGCCTCGCCCATGCAAGGCAAGGCGCTCTAACCGCACCCAACGCCTAGGCGTGCGCCTGGGTGATCTTTTTAAAACTTTGAGTAAACAAATTAGAGAGATAACACATTGGGAAGCTTTGTACTTAGCTATACTGAAGCACATTGTTCATGATCGACTCTTCTCTTCGAAGACTCTAGAGTTCCTTTCAAACCAAATCTCATAAAGAACGGTCTTAATGGCATTAATCCAAAGAAGGTTGGCTTTAGAATTCAAAGGGGGCCCCCGTAGAAGCTAAAGGACATTCCTTGCTGTTATGTTGTCAAATGCCCAAGACAAATTGAATTCCTCAAAAAGTAATTCCCAACAGCGCAATGCAAAAGGACATTGGAAAAAGATGTGGATCATACTTTCTCCACTAGAATGACATAGAGGACAGAAGGATGGCATAAGATTAGAACCAGGCATCTTCCTTTGAAGAACTTCAGCTATATTCACCTTTCCGTATAGAAGGATCTAGGTGGAAAAACAAACCTTTTTAGGACACTTGGTCTTCCAAATGGCATTAAATAAATCTGGTGGCATAGCTTCGTCTGAAGGGGACTTACGAATGGAAACCATGGTAAAACAGCCTGAAGGTTCTAAAGACCAAATTCCAATTATAGCCTGCAACATTTTTTACCAAACCCTTGAGAGAAAGCTAAGCAAACAAAAATCAATCCAGTTTCTTTGGTGAGGAGGATCCAAGCAGACCCGTCTTCAGAAGAGATGAGACTCATAATTTCAAACCTCCCTGGTCAGCTACAAGGGTGGGAATAGAAATGAACTACTTTTCTTCTCCTTCAAAGGGTGCCTTTCTTGACCTTTGACTAAGGACTTTTATGAAGAATAATATTCCCCTCCGAAGGGATGAAGGGTTCTTTAGCTTATTTTTAATTCAAGACATGGAATTTCCTCAGAATTCTTGAAGGACCTTCTCAACAAATATCTCCTCTTTTGGTTAATTCTTGTGGTGCTTAGAAACGGTACATATTGTTGATGGGCCAATTCCGAATGATGGGCCCAACACTGATTCATTAAAGTCAGGTGTGATTTATTCATTTAATGCTTTGATGAATCCAATTCCAAATGATATTTTTTCAGAAAATGAAAAGGAATTCAATGTCAGCATAAGTAGTTCTGATGTCACCCCTTCTCCACTTCTCCCGCTAATCAGAGATGTAATTCAGAGGAAATTTCCTAGGGTGAAGATTTTATTAATCTTTTTGGTTTGGAGGTGGCCCTTCGTTCACTTTACCAGGATCTTCGCATGATCAATCATCTCAATCGAAAGAAGATACTTTTAATGATTCTCGGCTTGCACACCTCAAAGATCCCACGGATTCTTCTATTCCTACCTTCTCCAAAACAGTTGGTCTCACACCTGCTCCATCTATTAAATCCCAATAAAAATCCTGTCTTGGAACGTCTGTGGTCTTGGTGATTATAATAAACAGTTGAAGATTAAAAGGTTTATTCAGAAGCATGGTCCAGATATTGTTCTCCTGCAAGAAACGAAATTACAAAATATAGATGATATTATTGTAAAATCTCTATGGAATTCAATGGATGCCAGTTGGTCTCACATAGACTCTGTTGGCAAATCTGGTGGGGTGATCACAATATGGGATGAGAGTAAAATTCGATTGCAGGAGGTTCATCATGGAGTTTTTTCGTTAAGAATTCTGTGTTCTTTTTCTAACTTGCAGAACTTGTGTGCGACAAATGTCTATGGGCCGATGAATTATAAAGAAAGAGTTCCTCTGGCAAGCGCTCAGGGATATTAAGGGGCTCGTCGAAAAATTCTTGTGTAATGGAGGGTATTTTAATGTTACTCAATGGATTGGTGATAGATCCTCTGGTGGAAGAATTTCAAACGCTATGAAGACCTTCAGTACTATGATTGAGAATGTAGAGATGGTTGAAATACCTCTCTCAAATGGAGGCTTCACTTGGTCGAAGATGGGGGGAATGACAGCGTTCATTCGTTGACTGACAGATTCTCTCTCTCAGGATTGGATTTCTCTGTTTAACAAGTCCAGGGTCTTTAGAGCAAACCGGATCACTTCCGATCACTTTCCCATTTTTCTGGATGCAGGGGATTCGTGTTGGGGACCGTGTCCTTTTCGGTTCTTCAACTCTTGGTTATCTTCGAAAGATTGTGCAAGTCTAATTGAAACCAAATTTTCAAATGATCATTCGCCGGTTATTTGATTTCCTCCAAATTAAGATCTCTTCGATCTTCACTTAAACAAGGTCATATTCGAAATGAACCTATCAGGAATCTGAGGATAAGAATCGTTTTCTCCGAACTGTGGTTTCTGCTACAGGCTTAAAGCCCTTCTCCACTGGGGGCAATCCTAAGCATGAAGCTTTTTGGAGCCCCATTCAAGACAAGATTTTCAAGAAATTAGATAGATGCAATGGTATCAACTTTCGAAGGGAGGTAGGTTGACTTTATGTCAATCGGTTCTAGAACATCTTCCCTTATACTATTTCTCTATTTTTCAAGCTCCGGTGAGAATTTTTAAGCACTGGGAGAAAAGTATACACTTTTTCCTTTGGGGAGACTCATCAAAAGGCTCGATGAATCATTTAGTAAGGTGGGATATAACTTCTCATGCTAGAGAAGTCGGAGGTCTGGGTATTGGAAATCTCTCCAAAAGGAATAAAGCCTTGTTAGCAAAATGGGATTGGAGATTTGGTGTGGAAACTTCATCTCTTTGGCGATCAGTGGTGGCTAGCATTTATGGATTGGATTATGGAGGTTGGTGCACATTGCCTAAGTTAGTCGGATCGGGTCGAAGTCCTTGGCATAATATTTTGAAAGCTTGGCAAGAGGTGGAGTCGTTTTCCCATGTCAAAGTAGGGAATGGCAATCGGAGCTTATTTCGGCATCACTTTTTTTTTAACACGATACGAACTTTTCATTGATAAATGAAAATGAACAAAATTGTTCAAAGATACAAACTACCATAGGAGTGAAGATACAGGAAATAAATAAAAGTAAGCATTAGAAGAAATAAAAACCATAAACTTAAAGAAACCTCCTTAAAGGGGAGTTATAAGAGCCTCCCAATTCATACAAAGCATACTAGGAGAATAAGAAGAGAAGAGATCGGAACGAGCACACCATTGGGAGGCTTTGAATTTGGCGATTGAGAAACACTCCATAGGAGATCGATTCTTGCCTTCAAATATTCGTTGATTTCTCTCAAACCACAATTCGTAAAGAAGAGCTTTTATTCCAAAAGCCCAAAGCAGATTAGTTTTAGAGCTTGCTTGCGCCCATTGAAAAGCTGAAAAATGATTTGAGGCACCTCCATATCCCACAACCATGAAACTTAATAGGAATTTTCTCCAACAGACCACTGCATAGCTACATGAGAAGAAGACATGCCTTTGGGTTTCCCCACTTGCTTTGCACAGTAAACAACATGATGGCTGCATCAAAGAATTGGACATTTTCTTTTGTAGTGTCTCTGAAGTGTTAACTTTGCCCATTAGAAGAATCCAAACCATGCAATTAACTCTCTTTGGTCAAAAAGAGTTCCATAGAATAGGTAGTACTTCTTTAGGAAAATTAGAAACCGAATGCCGGAATTTGCTCAACGATCGAACTGAAAGTAAACCCGGAGCTTCTAAACTTCATACTCGATGATCTTCTGAATCAGTGATGGAGGTTGAAGAAAGCAAGGATAAAAGATTTGCCAATTCAATAACTTCATTATCCTTCAATGATCGCCTAGTTGACAGCCTCCAAGAATAGCCAGTGTTATCCCAAGCATCCGCAACTACAATGGACGGATTAGAAGARRTCCTAAAGATAGCTRGAAATCTATCTTTAAGCGAAAAATCTCCCATCCATCGATGATGCCAAAACAGAYAYCTTTTGYCRTTCCCGATTTTTAAATGGRAAAATGATTCCAMTTGCTTCCATACCTTRGATATATTCCTCCRWGGGCTTCTACCTGAACCTGTCAACTTAGTCAAAGTGCACCAATCACCAAAATCAGAATCATGAATACTAGCCACCACCAGCCTCCACAAACTTGAAGATTCAACACTGAACCGCCACCCCCACTTGGCAAGCAAAGCTCGGTTTCTTTTAGTAAAATTCCCTATCCCAAGGCAACCTTCCTCTCGATCTAAAGAAGATATGTCCCACCTCACTAAGTGATTTACTGAACCTTTCAAAGAATCTCCCCAAAGAAAGGATCGAACAYTTTTCTCCATTATTTTGCAAATTCRCATAGGAACCTTGAAWAGAGAAAARTAATATAATGGWAGATGTTCAAGAACCGATTGACAAAGGGTCAACCTTCCACCTCTCGAAAGTTGATATCTCTTCCATCGATCTAGCTTCTTTGTTGTCTTGTCAAGAATGGGACTCCAAAAATTGTCATGCTTTGGATTTCCCCCCAATGGCATTCCCAAATAAATCAACGGAAGTTTTTCAGCTTTGCAACAAAATTTAGAAGCCATCCTCTGAATTTTCTGAGTATTCATGTTGACTCCACTTAAAGAAGATTTCTCCCAATTTACTTTCAATCCCGAGAGCCATTCAAAGGCTTTAATTGTGTCAAACAATACAGCCAACATATTATCATCGTCTTTGCAAAACAATGTTGTGTTCTTTCCGATACCTTTTCCTCTTACTCTCTGTAGGTATCGACCTCCTTCTCCGATTACTATTCGAATATAGAAAATAGCCCGAAGGCGATTACAAGCTACCCCACCGATTCGAGAGGGTGGGTATCTCTCCTCCCTTCCTACTACATAAGGTACAAGCCAAAAACAGTCCCCCCACTCAAATGAGCGCACTCCCCTTATACCTACCTCCCTCCCCACAAAATTGGTACATACGTTCTCTCTCCTGCCCGTTAGAACTCTCCCTAGGCATTACCCATAATACCCCTTAGGTTATTTCCAAACTTACCCCTCCTAGAATATGTCTTTGTAATTGGGGGCCTAACACTCTCCTGGGATGCTATGTATGAATTGGGAGGCATTTATAACTCCCCCTAGTCAGTGTTTTAACTTTTGTTGATTCTATTGTGATTCTATTGTGATTCTCTTTGAACAATTTTGTTTCTTTTCATTAATCAATGAAAAGTTCGTATCATGTTAAAAAAAAAAAAAAAAGAAACGGTACGTAGTGAGAGGTATCTCAAATCTGGACAAGAATTAGTCTATGCCTGTCCTTGTCGTTGTCAACTCAAGTCTTGCAGACTGGCTGTGACAATTATTTCGTTATTCTCCTATTCTTTCAAGCTCCTCAAGAATCCTAAATCATATAGTACAAGGCAAAGGAACAGTTTGCTTTGCACCCTCTGCTCGACTACATAACTCTAAATCATGTAGTAAAAGAAACAAGGGAAAGAGAGATTTCTTTTGAAAGATGAATGAAAAATTTGTATCATAATATGAGAAAAGTTGTCTTTTTGTAACAAGAAACAAAAATTTTCATTGATATTATGAAACAATAAAATAAGAATCCCCAAGTGAAAAACAATAAACAAAATTATCCCAGAAGTGTAACCGCAAAGACCAAAGAACCACTGAAGCCCAAGACAACGAAAAACAAAGCCAGCACCTAACCCACCACCCAATTACAAATATCACTTCAAACAATGACCAACAGACCAAGTAATAAATAAAAGATTAAATTTAAATTCTTGGCCAATTGTCTCTATCCTTTTAAATATTTCATCTTGTCCCTATCATTTTATTAAAGTTTATCCCATGTCCCTGTCATTAGGCGAGAGTAACAAAAATCTGATGTGGCAAGTGATCTATGGATATTTAAAATGAGCTCTATAATATGATATTTTGTTTTACTAACTTCGGAAGTGGCAAATCAAAACATGAATTTGATTTGGGCTTTAAGAAATTACTTTGGCTGAAAAGTAAAAGAAGGGCTGAGACTAATGTTGTTTTGGAGTGCAATACTTTGTCAAGTGATATCTGTTACTCCTTACTAATGAGATGGATCTTTAGTAAGCTTTAATCACAATTTATCTTCCTTTATAGCTAATTGGAATACCGTTTTCAACACCTTGCAACTTCGGGGAAGATCCCAGTTGTTCAAAGACATACAGTCAAAATATAAAATTTTTCTTTCATATGCAGAGCAGAAGTAAATAAATACAGCAATGAAAGAGATAGGTACGCATTTTCCTTAACAACACGAACAATGCAGGAGAATTAAAATGTCTAGTTTATTTAAAGAGAACTAATGATAAGGGACTTATGATACTTACATCCTCGGGTGTCACAGCATCTTTCTTCAAAGAAATACTTGCATTACGCTTCTTAATCAAAATGGTTTGTCCATTAGAACTTTTCTGTAGATTTGTATATGAGGTCAGTGCAAATGTAATGAAGTCGATAATGAAAGATAATCTTGAAGTAAAACTAAAACATCTTAAAGAACAAAACAGGGTAGTCCGTTTGTTCAAATAGAGCTTACAATTATACTTGTAAAAAAATTATTAACTAACCTGTTGAAGAGCATATTCCTTCAATTTCTTCCTAATCACAGTCTCAGACAGATACGGAAACTGAGAAGGTAGTTCATCAACACGAATGTAAGGAAGTCTTCTACGCTTTTCAGCAGCAAGGAATTCACGAAATATATATAAAGTTAATCTATTCATCATAAACATTTGAAGAGACTTTGTTCCAGGAGAAAACACCTCCATCAACGGCTCCTGCATAGAATACCATTTTTCTTTAACTAGAAACAGTTTTTCATTGATAATATGAAAAGGAAATGTTTAGAAAACAAACTCGAGGGGTGAGATGGAAAAGTAAAAGAGATAAAAAAACAAAAAACAAAATAAGAACATGATCAACTGAAGAAATTCAAAAATAACGAGCCATCAAACTGAAGGATCTAGAGACAGCAGTACCAAGAAACCACAAGGCTCCACTGAAACAAACCAAAAGCAAACTCCACAATGAAATAATCTAGAAGAAAACTAAAACCCCTGGAGCCACCCATGGCTCCAAACGAAGGAGAAGAAGCTGTCAAAGAAAAAGCACGTTAGAGCTTATGACATCAATAGAAAAAGACCGTTAATCATCAAAAAGGAATAGACTTTCACTCTTTGAGAAAGAACCCAATGCATTAGCAAAATATCCTTGTTAATTGTCGAAGGAAAGTCTTCTACTCTTGTAAACCAAAGGAAAGTCTTCTCCAATGCTTTTCTTTGACGTAGAAAAAGCCTCTAACTCTTCATTTCCTTTCAATAAAAACAAAGGATTTGAATAAACACTTAAAGCTTCAAACAGTAATCACTTGAAAAGCTTCCAAAGTCACAGAAGAGGGGAATGACCATCTCTTTCAGATCAATGTGATAAAAGGTGCCCTCTCTCTTTCCCTCAATATCTTAATGCCAATGGGTTTTCTTTTTGGTTTTCTGGTATTTATTACCCTCCAAGGTTGGTGCATCGCTAGAAACGACTAGCTGAACTTCAATACTTAGTTGGGTGGAAATTTCAATGTTACCGGATGGAAATGGCAAAAATCACAGGCAGACTCAACAAGCATGAGAAAATTCAATAAATTCATCTCCTCTCACAGTTCGTTAGATATCCCTCTTATAAATTGTTGCTTCACTTGGTAAAGTTTCAAATACCAGCCCACTCTTTCATTTTTGGAGAGATTTCTGATCACCAATAGAATTGCTCCAAAACTTGGGATGGGCCACCTATAGAGGCCGGAGAGAATTATCTCTGTCCACTACCCCTTATCTCTCATTTTTGGCAACATCAAATGGGGACCACCACCTTCCCCTTGGAGAAAATGTGTCTAAGCCATAGTCCTTTCCCCCATAGTTGACTCCTGGTGGAAGCAAAATCCAATGAAAGGTTGGCCAGGGCACGATTTTCGGTTTTAGGGAGAAACTCAAAGGCCTAAAGTTTATTTTGAAGAACTGAAGCAAGCTGAATGTTAAAGCCTTAGCTACTTAGCAAAATAAATCGAAAACTCAGCTGGTAGATCTTGATAGACAAGAAAGGAATGGGCTTCACCCTAGATCAGAGGAAAGTCAGACAATGTCAAGCCTCGGTTAATGGACCTTGCTGCCAATGAGAGTATTTTGGAGACAAAGATGCAAGCTGAGATGGTTTAAGGAATGAGACAAAACACTCACTTATATTTACCAAATCCTATCTAGAGATGACAATAGTTTGTTAACAGAAAGACATGGAAAAAGAATTCCTGGATTTCAATGATCAGCTCTACACTAAAGATAAGAACAAGAGGTTCATTCCCTCTAATTTGGATTGGCAGCCATCCACCAAGAGCAAGCTAAGCAAGTAGAAGAATAATTAACTGAAGCAGAGATCTACCAGGTGAAGCCGGATACCAACCAAGTATACCAAGCTGCCTCTTCTCTGGACAACAACAAAACCAATACCAGACAGTTTTACCTTTTACTATTTGAAAAAATCATGGAACACAATCAAGCAAGACGTTTTGACTTTGATCCATGATCTTTTTGAGAATGGTTTTACCAATGCAAAGCTTAATGAGACTTACATTTGTCTCATTCCAAAGGAGTGCTCCCATTCACTATTTCGGCTTTGTCAGTGAAAGACAAATTACAGAAACCTCCCTCATTGCAAATGAGCTAATTGAAGAATGGTCTTTCAAGAAAAAGGCAGGGGTGGTTGCAAAGCTTGATTTAGAAAAGGTATTTGAGGTAGATTGCAACTATTTAGATTCTGTTCTAAAAGCTAAGGGCTTTGGAGATCGTTGGAGGAATTGGATCTCTGGATGTGTATCTAGCGCAAACTATTCCATGATAATCAATGGTAAACCTTGAGGTAAAGTCATCGCGTCGAGAGGCCTTGGACAAGGAGACCCATCTTTTTCTCTTCATTTTGGTAGTAGATAGAGATAGCCTCAGCCGGTTACTTTCTCACAGCACAAATCAGGTCAATATTAAAGGTTTCTCTTTGAACAATTCTTCCTTGTGCCTCAACCACCAGCAATTCACTGACGACAACCTTCTCTTCTCCTCATTTGAAAGGCCATCACCAATCTGTTCAACGTCATCAAAAATTTTGAAGAGGCCTTTGACTAAATATGAACTATGGTAAAAGTGAGCGGCTGGGTATAAATTTTTCTGTTCCTGACCTAGAAACTCTTCTAGTCAGCATGCTGCAAAATGGACTCATGTCCAGCCACTTATCTTGTTATTCCACAAATCCCTTCACTTCTCGTAGCCAATTCTGGAAAGAGTTGAGAGAAAATTTTGCAATATTGTTCAAAGATACAAACTCCCAAGGGAGTGAAAAAGAAAAACTTTAAAAAAAACAGCAAGAAAACAAGAAACAAAAGGGAGAAAAAACTTAAAAGGGATTTAAAAAGGTCTCTCAATTACAGCAAATCATATTAGGGGAATAACTAGAAAAAGAAGCATCAAGAGAACACCAATGGGAAGCTTTCAACTTTGCAATACTGTAGCATTCTTTCGGAGACTTGTTTTTGTTTTCAAAGAGACACTGATTTTGTTGAAACCATAGTTCAGAAACTAAGGCTTTGACACCGTTTGCCCATAATAACCAAGCTTTATAATTTAAACCTGATATACTGAGTAGTTGGGCAATGTTGTTTGGAACAGCATGATCAAACACCAACTGTAAAGAGAGAGAATTGAATAGAAGCTCCCAACAATTCTTGTAGAAAGGGCAATGGAAGAAGACGTGAGACTGCTGTTTATCACAATTCTTGCACAATATGCACATGGAAGGTGACAAGGCCATACTATGGATCTTCTTTTGGAGGATGTTGGCTGTCTTTACCTTTCCTTGGAACAAAATCCAAGTGAGAATGTTGACCTTCTATGGGCTTTTAGACTTCCAAATGGCTTTGAACAAATCTTGTGAAAAGATTGAGGAGGAACGACGGGTTGTGCACAAGGAACTAACCGTGAAAAGGCCGGCCGACCATCTTTGTTGATCATCTTTAGAAATCAATGAAATGTGGCTGAGGGAGGACAGCAACTCCGTAATGCTCCTACTTCCACTTCCTTTAGAAAAGGTCTAGTTTCAATTTTCCAAGATTGAGTGGCTGAATCCCAATGATGAAAGACCGAACCTGTTGGATTAGAAGAGATTCGGTAAAGAGATGGAAATTTGTCCTTCAAAGCTCTATCTCCAAGCCAAACATGAGACCAAAAAACGATATGCTTGTCGTTACCCACTATAAAGGAACAAAAATGTTCCACTTTGTCCCATTGCTTAGCAATATTGATCCAAAGACTACGAGAACAACTTGACCGCTTCTCCAAAGTCTTCCAACCAAAGGAGTCCGATCCATAAATCTTACAATCACCTTTCTTCAGAGAGAGAAAGGTTCATTACAAAGACGCCATTCCCACTTGGCTAACAAAGCCCTATTTTTCTGTTGTATACCACCAATCCCCAAGCCACCTGCCTCCAATGGAGAGGAAGAAATTTTCCATTGGACTAAATGTTTCAAGGGAGCCTTCGAGTTACCTTCCCAATAGAAGTTCCACATCCTTTTTCTATTTTGCAATAGGAAATTCGCCTTTAGACGGTCTTAGCTCTTTGTTTAGGAACAGAATGCTCGAGACTTTCGGATGGCATACGGCATTACACAATAGTCCCTCCATCCCTCTTAGCTCTTTGTTGACTGCTCATCCTTTTAATAAGGAAGGAGGAATTCTATGGGAACATTTCATCAGGGCAATTTTTTGGAGCCTTTGGTTAGAAAGAAACAAAAGAATCTTCAACGCTACATCTCTCGAACTCTCCCTTTTGAGGTTTTTTTATAGGGTTATTGTTTTAGCTCTTGGATGGTGTAAATATTTTTATTCACCTTTCAATAGCTACTCTCTAAATGCCCTTGCCCCTAATTGGAAGGCTTTTTTAATTAGCCATCATGCTTTTGGATATTTCATACCCTCGATGAAATAATTGTTTCTTAAATCTTACCAAAAAAATAAAAAAATAAATCCACCTTCATCTCTAAAGGGGTCGTTTAACTCTAATCCAATAAACCCTTTCAAATCTTCCAACCTATTTTGTGTCTCTATTTTGGATTCCTGCCTTGGATCAAGAACATTGAAAGCTCTTCCTGTGGAAATTCACCGCTGAAAAAAATGCTCTCTGGTGCAAGGCTATCCAAGAGAAGTACAAGGATCATATAAATATGTCTTCGCCTATTAGTTCCTGCCATATATCCTCCAAAGTGCCTTGGTTTCACATATCAAAAGAAATCACAACTATCCAAAGCAAAGCTACATGCAAAATTGGTGATGGTAATTCTCTCAAATTTTTGAAAGATTTTGGATGGACCAAGGCCCTCTCAACACAAACTTTCTGAAGCTCTTTAAGCTGAATACTAATCTGAATATCACCATTGTTGAGGCTTGGATTTGAGCGACTAGCTCACGGACCTAAACCTACTAGGAATTTGAGAGATGATGAGATTTAGACTGGGCAATTCTTTCGAATTCTATCTCAATACTTCGGATCAGTGGAGGCAGAGATGGACGGGAATGGCCTCCAGATGCTTCAAAGACTTTTCCTATAAGTCCCTCCTTGCATCTCTTTCAACAGTGAACATGGGGAAGCCGATTCCCTTTACAAAGTAATCTGCCATGGTTTTGTATAGAGACGCAGTTAGGCTAATAGTTTGAAACTCGCTCACTGTATTGGCCTTCATCTTTTTTGGAATAAGGCAAATGTAGGTCTTGTTTGTACATTTATTTATGATCCCCTTTTTAAAAAAATCAAAATATATATATATATATATATATATATATCTTGGAACACCTGGCGCTACTAAATCTTTTTCCAACATGTTCCAAGATTTTAAAAAAAATTCCATTGTCATTTCATCGGGACTTGCGACTTCAAATTACCAAGACTCGTGATCACTATGAATTTCCTCTTCATAATCCTTCATCCCACCAGAAAGAGGCTTCCACCCAACACCTTCTAGGGCAAACCTGAGACCAACGTATGAAGAGCATAGATTCGTAAAGAAACTAATCACTTCCTTACCGATAATTTCACGGGCAAACGACAGAGATTGTGGTGTAAACCAGTTAGAGAAAACTGAAATTTTAATTCAAGATCTGCCTCTGATTATAGAGATGGCTGGCTTTTATAAGCACCTAGCCATAACTAACAGGGAATTAACTAAAAGATAACTAACAGAAGGTTGTTTATACCTAACCAACCAACGAAAACAGAATATAAACTAACTGAGGCGTAATATCCTCGGCCAGCTGCGGATAGGTCGCTTTCCCAGACGTCGCCGATTGATTCCCAGCTGGCCCAACCATGCGGAATCGCTAGATTGCATTTGAAGGCGACCAAGCAACCTTTTTATCATCTAGAGTGTTGGTATAGTCGAAAAAATTTCCGACATTCTTTATCCAATCCAAGAATGCTTCCACATCCATCTTCCCATTAAAAGTAGGTAAATCGATCTTCATTCGGTAATACATTCGAACACCGCCCTTGTTTTGGTGGTCATCTCTATCAAACCGACGGTTTTCCCGAAAAAAGATATCTTCCTCTCCGGAAGAATCTAAATATTGGACTCTTATCTGCAAGTCTTGATTCCTCCGTCCGCGATCTTCCACATACATCGCAACAACTGGAGTACGGGATCTATTTTTGGACGTTCTTGATGTTGTTCCCCACAGCCTGTGTTACCTCAATTACCCCTATCAAGTCGAAGTCGCTCTTGTTCAACCGAATTT